CATTGTGTGTGTCACAAAGTCCATCAACAACAAGATCATTAGGGGAGTGAGTGAAAGTGTTTGTCCATTTTTCACAACAAAAAGAAGCAATGTGATGATGAGATAGAAACGGTTGTGTGCATCCATGGAACTCATCACTAATGTTAGAGAGTCAAGTTTTTAGTCCTGGCAGCGCACTGCTTTGCCTTTTAAATGCATTTTCATATGAAACATCTACTGGGAAAATATTTTATTTGCTAGTGATGCTGTTAATCTGCTTGGATTTGTTTCCAAAATAACAATGTCTTCTTTCATGTTCCAGCAAAATTGTTGGATTCTGAGCATGTGCCCTTGGTGGTTGGAATTTCAGGGAGAGTTTGCTCTGAAACCCCCATAAACTGTGAGTTTGGTGGTTTACGAGCTGTAATTGTGGAGCAATGGGTACAAATCATAACTCTAGATGCCATATATAATATGGGATTCTTTCTTTTGAGGTGATTTTTATTTTTATTTTTTCTAATTGCAATCTTCTTGGATATTCTTTAGGCAGAACAAAAGTTTTTGAAACGCAACGTGGAGGGTGATTGGAGATCGGGTTCTGCTTTGATGCTTTCAACGTGCAAGGAAGTCCCCTGGTATTTGGTGAGTGGCTGTGCTCTCTCTCTCTCTCTCTCTCATGAGAGTATCGGTACGCAACCATGGTGTATTTGGGGTGTGGTCTTCTTAGAGAATTCCACATGTTCATTGTTGTGCTTGATTAAGTAAATATTAGTTTTGGGTGCACTTGGTTGAAAGTTGACTAACGTGATATGATGGTGGTTCCTTGGTTTTTTATACCAGGATGATGGGACTGGTCGTGTGAATGTGGTGGGAGCTCAAGGTGCCTCAGGCTTTAACCTTCCGGCTTCAAGTGGGATATTTGAACAGTCAAGGAGATGCCTCAAATGTGAGACAATAGATTACCGCCCAGGCCTCAAGGTTTGCCTTGTTTAGTAATCTATATATCTGACAAAACTTCATCGGTTCAACTAAATTTTTCACTATTTTGTCTTAGGTACTTGGAGTCAAACGAACTGAGTGGGTACTTCCAGTCGGTACTTCTTTGAGTGTTGTTGGCGAGGTATGTTGTAATTCAATGTGATACTGCAAGTACTTCATATCCCAAGGTTTTGAAGCACTTTCATTTCATACAACTACACTCTAAAGCTAATAATCAACTACTAGTATTCAGATAATTCAATGTGCGTGTGTGTATGTATACGACTTTACATTATAGAATTACAGCATACACCAAGGTTTTCAGTTTAATATGGTACCAAACTTTACATAAGTTGGATGGATGGTGTGGATGATGTGCATGGAGATTTACTCCAACCGCATTAATGTTTTCCAAGGATGAGCCTTTTTTGCTTAGAAGAACTTGGTATTGTATACACAGTAAACGGCTTTAACTTGTAGTTTCATAGTATATACATACACATTAAACAGCTTTAACTTGTAGTTTCATAGACATGCCCCATTTATTAGCAGGAAGTTCACTGATGGAGATTATTTGCACATTTAAATGTTATGATATTGGTCTACTTAATTATATACCAATCCCTCAATCTTTCAAGTTCATGTTCAGGCTGTCAAAGATGCCGTTGGTACCATTCAAATTCAAAAACCCCACGATGGGCCATTTTATGTCTCTCCCAAATCCATTGACGAGCTCATTGCAAGCCATAGGAACTGGGGAAGGTTGTTAATATGAATGCCTGAATGCATATTGACGTGTGTGCTAGCTTTGTGTGTGTGTGTGTGTGTTTACATGCTCATGTGCTTTTTTATGTGTGCTTTATCTAAAGTCTAATTAATATAGATTTCTTTACCAGGTTTCTCAAATTTGCATCTTTTTGTTTGGCTTTCATCGGTCTTACTTTGATTGCCATGGAATTTAATGAATACATCATGGAAAGACAGCGCCGCTTTGAATTACAGAGAAGCCTGACCACCAGATAAGTTATTTGCCCAAGTTACGTTTATGTGGATGTTGTTACTCATGAAAATATGCCACCTGTTCCATAGAGGTGTATTTTTGGATAGAAGCCCAATTTATTTAACTCTAGATGTGTTTTTTTGTTTCCATTGTTTCTTCTATCTGTTGAGACCAATACAAAATGAAATTCCGGCCTATGCAGGGCCGTTGCTGCAGCTTCTGTAAGAACTGGGGAAGATAATGAAGGTATATTGGCGGAGCGTCCCCACTACACTGTTATTTTCCATATAATATATTGTCCTAAATGTACCATGTTTGTCTCCCAGGTTCAGACGAAGGGGCTGTTGATGCATCAAATGGTACCAATTCATGTGTGATATGCCTTGGGCAGGAGTATAGTGTTGTTTTTGTCCCGTAAGAACCGCCTTTCCCGCATTTGTTACAATAAAGCGTCTCATCTATTCCTTTGTTAAGTCAGCACTCGTCTGACCCATTTATTTTTCCAGGTGTGGTCATATGTGCTGTTGTACAAGTTGCTGCTTGAACCTGAGGAAGTGTCCCCTTTGCCGGCAACGAATTGTGCAGGTGGTGAGGACTTTCCGCCCTTAAGATTCTGCTTCAAATTTGAGGTTCTGTGCTCTAGTAGATGAAGAATTCTCGACGATTGGATCATCTTTCTTTTTTTTAAGAACCTGAAGGCCTTAGTGTTCCTTGTAGTGGCAACTTCATTACACGATGCTTTTCTGGATTCACTATTGAGATTTGTAAACTGATATTAGATATTAATATTATGGCCTTTCTGAGTTTGAGACAAGACACCAGGTCTGCTTTAGTTTGATGATCAACAACATTATTAGGAAAATCGTTATTTTTCTACTCATTCATGGTAATAATTATTTTATTATTACTTTCTTCTTTTTCATATACAATAGAAGGAAATCGAACACTTTACTCCTTGTTTACTTTATTTTTTCGTATAAGAACGGCGAAATTTCGCTTGTTTAACGGGAATGATTTTGTTTAGTTAGGGGTGCCTTGTAATCTTATTCAAGATACCATTTTGTTTGATTCTATGAGTAGGGGGGGTCAAGCTCCATGCCCCCCGGTTGTATTATTATTACTTGAATTTTTAATAAATTGCCATCGAATTTTGGACTTCAATCAACTTTGAAAAGAAAAGTAGAAAAAATTATAACCTCTTTAAACAAGAAAAGACCTTGAGAATAACTTTTATTTTTTAATCGACTGCAATGGGGGAAAAGACGTCAAAATTTAAAAAATATATATTCTTTTTTTCTGTCGGATAAAAAAAAACCCCACATCTTTGCACACCATTTTCC